GTGATCTTTCTTTGGTCGTTCCACCGACTTGGGATCCTCCCTTTCTCCTCTTATTCTGCTCTAGTTGTTGCTGCTGCTGAGGCTGCTGCTGAGGCTGTTGACGCTGTTGGTGCTGTTAGTGCTGCTGCACTCTGTTGCTAAGTTGCTGCTACTGCTGATGCTGCAGCTGCTGCTATTTGTGACGAGACGGCAAACGTGCCCGTGCTCGTTGTTCTTGTTGCTACCGTTAGTTGCTACCGACCAGTCGTCCGGCTACTGATGCGCACCACGCGCCAGTAGTGTAGGTGATAGAAATGACGAAGTTGGAGGTGGTGGTCAGTTTCAAGGTTGCCTCCTCGGTGCTTGTTACTTGCACACCGTGTACATGTGTGTGTATATGTATATATGTACATTAACTAGACGTACTCGTCTTAAACGATCTCATGGACGTTCCTGTGTCTGTTCAGAACGTTGTACGAAGGTCCTCTATGATAAATCTTATTGGTTTTGATGTATTTTCATTTTAACGGTTAAAGTAAAATGTATGTACTTAATAAATCATTGTTTTTGTTATTTCATGAGTCAATTTTGTATTAATGAAATATTCATATTAATCTTCTGTATAAAGTGAATATACAACAATGAAGTTTATGTTTTTTAACAGAATGAGTTATCTGCATAAATGTTCGGAGTATCGTTATATTTTCAGTAGTCAAAGCTATTCGTATGTTATCATATTTAATATATACAACAAACGAGATCAAATAGGTAACAGTCTTTTATGCTTGCTATAATTTCAGTAGACGAATATCTTTCAGTATATTACACGGATATAATGGCCGTTCAGATAATTGTATTGTTGAATTTTGGTTGAAATTAATTGGTAAATTATAAATTTAAAATTGATTCCTTCATATTTAAATATTTATATTTTATATTCGCACAAAATCAATTAAAATGTGGTTGTTTATGCACTAGTTGCACTGTCTCTATCATCAGTTCCTTATTATGGAATCATTTGCGTCCGCTACTGATTGCGAGCAGAACTCTCTATTTAGTAAAATCTTATTTTATTTAATTATGTAAACACCATTTAGAAAATTTTCTTCTATGCATTTTTATGATTACTGCTTTTATTTTAGTTTCAGTTAAGGTTCTCTTTCGTTATAGTTTTACAGCATTTCTAAAGATAAAGAAGTATTCTTTATACACATTGTTTCAAATTGTTTTACATTTGAAAACTACAAAAATAATTTGTATTTGTATAGTGAAGAGATGTCGTTTCGCTTTATACTTTTATGTATCGTGAACATTACGTTGAAGAACATGATTTTGCGGAAAAAATTATAATAATAAATAATTTAAAGTTAAAAGATTCGATCAATATTATAAATATTTATGAATATTTTTTCGTCTTACTATCAATAATTTTACTATAATAAATTTCCAATAAAAATCCTAGAATATGTATTTATTTTTATTTATTTAGTATGATTTATTTACTTTCCAAAGTGTAACACACATGTGACGTTGTCAAATTTATTACTCTAATACTATTTTGTACAATGATTCAAATTTCATAAAAATTAGTGTATGATTTGTTTTTACAATACCTATTTCCTTTCGACATCAAGTAACAACGTTGCAAAGTCACACTTCAAAAATATTATAGCGAACTAGATGAAAGCTGCAGTGACACTTTTCCAGAAGAAAATAATAGAACACTTAAACAAAATAGAATGTTTTTTATTTAACAATCGAAGTAATTTCTACCAACCTTTCAAATCCTTCGATCACGGAAATATAAGCCTTGCATCATTGCATGCATATTTTCCTGAAGCATAGATAACGCAGTTCATAAAAACCGAGAATAACATCATTTGTGCAATGTGCGAAACGATGCATACATATGAAAGATGAAAACCTTTATCGTATAAATCAACGGGAATCGTGAGAAAAAAGACAATCAGAAAATGAAAAAAATGAACCCTTGATGCGAAACGCGTAGCGGCGGCCGCACCCCGCCTGGATTCGAGGAAAATACCTTTCCATCGTACTTCGATCATGTTACGTCATTTATGGCACTTTGTCTTCCTGTTAGTAGTATCAGAGTCTCGGCCTCTCCGCAATTGATTACCGACTTTGCCATAACATTTCGGTCCGGAAGATTTAATTATACATTCGCATATCGACGCCAGGAAAATTGCGTTCGTTTTAATAGTCTTCGCCGCCTAGGGACTGCCGTGCATGCAGCCACGCGCACCAGCACATTCAAACGAAAGAGATTCTTCTAATTGTCGCACAATTGCGCGATAACTATCGCGCCGCATCGGCTAATGAAAAAATGTCTATGTTTCGCCGTGGAAAGATACAGCTCGCTTTAAAACCAAAACAAGGTTGTGCAAGCGTATGCACAGAGCGTTAACGCTGATAGGTGGCCACCTATTTTCGTTCCGTCGTAAATGTGTGTCGTTTGATAAAATTTTAGGAGGCTCGTAAGCGTCATTCCAGGGGCGTTGTTTCACCGTGCACAGCATTGCTTCGCGTGTATAGTATACCTGTACAACGACGTACGATAAATTGGAACAACGTAATATCTCGTATTAATACAGGAAAAGAAACAAAATTATCTTGATGATGAAAACTGGGTTTATGGACATTTATTGCGCAGTTTATTTTATTGTTTATAGAGAAATGGTTGTTCATCTGTTTGGAGTTTGGAAACTAGAGATTTAAAAATAGATAATTAGGATACATACTCGTGTAATTGCGTCGATAAAAATCAATGTAAATATTTATCAAATAATGTTTATAAAATTCAATATATGCACGTCTAATTGATGCATTTCGTAAACTTAGCGTTAAGAAGTATATTAAGTTTTGGTGTTTATATGTATTGGGTTGACTAAAAAATTCTAGTGAATTGAATTAAAAATTTGTTTCGACTAAGTTTCTGTTTGTTAAACAGTATACTGCATACGTTATTTGACAATTATTTGCTATCTGTTAATATATTTGTTTACTTTTAGTACTTATGCATTAGAAAAAACACCTTTTCTACTTCTCATGGCTTTTTATTTCTTTGCACAGTAAGAAATTTACATTTTTTAAAAGTTGTGTCTATAAACGATAAAAGTAAATGTATGTATCGAAGATTATGAAAGTGAACTAAGAAAAAGTTGATAGTACATAAATATTAACTGCTATTATGTACGTACTTTATAAATATTAATACGTACTTTATGTACATTGTCACACAGTGTGTTTAAATGTAAATGTAATGCCACAGAAACTTACATAATTTTTTGCAAAAGTGTCACTTTCAAAAAAGTTAAATCAATCATATTTTTTAAAATGTCTTTGACTCATAGTGTCAGACAGGTAAAAGCTTTTAAGTGAATTGTGGGTTATAAAAATTCTCGTTTTGATAGGTTCTGTTCGAAATGCTAATATTAGGGGAAATGTTGTTTTGCCATGTATAGTATACCTTAATCTAAAAGAACAATATAATGAAAACATCTGTTTTATTCTGTTGTGGGTATTTGCACATGTCATGAATAATATCTACATCCTGCTTAGAACATTACCCAACGTTGCATTTTTTAAAAATTATATAAGTAGATGCATAAGATGCAAGCATACTTTTACAAACTTTTTTACTTTTATAAATTAATTTTAAAACTTGGAAAACGTTTATGATGGTCACGTGGAAAGTGGAATTCGATATTCTTAAATAGTACATTGTTATTCCGTAATTTCGAGTCACTGTTTCTAACTTCAACGATTATCGAGCTTTTATGAACGTTTTAATAATAGCAAAAACGCAGACAAATATGTCTATTTATGAGCTTGAATCTTGTTATTTGCAAAATCACGTGCTGCTCTTGTCATGCTAAGCGGTTTTCTTTAAAAACGCCCATCGTAAAAATTAACCGAAAGAAAATTAGTATTCATAAATACATTGAGAGTCGTCAAACGATTCGTAGTATGCCAGCATTGTACTTGTATCCATCATGTTGTATTCTTACCCATTCAACCTGGTTCTTGCATTTGCATTTCATAGAAAGCGCTCGAGCAAGAGTGATTTGTTCTTACGTGTGACCACATGCTTCCATAGTCTTTTGTATTACGTATTAATTTGAATTCGCTGATTGTTCATCGAAGTCATTTATTCATTCTAAAACCGATATTATCTGATTGTTCTTGCATTGAATCTACTAATAATCTCTTATTATTTGTTTCAAAAATCGATTGGTAAAGAGAAGAAATATTTTAAACTATTTTTCTTTGTTTGAATGTAGATACTAAATTTGATAAAAAGTAGTAGGTTATTTGTTAATATATGCAATTCATTTTCAGGTATACTATTACATACTTCTGTTTGCTGGACACATGTTTTGGTCACTACAAAATAAATTATGATTATTGTAACTCTGTAATAACATATTGCTATAAATATACATTCACATTCATGAATGATATTTAAAAAATAATATAACTCTTCCTCAAGCTTTTTCCTTACTTATAATTATTACAAATTTTCGGAACTTCAAAGTGGAAGATATTAAATAATTTTAAAGTATTATTTTTCATACCAGAAATAAACTTCAGTAAGTTATTTTTCTATAATATAGATTTATAAATACACTTTTCGAAAGTATAAAATTACTTGTTTTATCAAAAGAAAATATGCATTTTTTAATAGAAAATATATGAACGAATACTGTAATATATATGTAATATATAGTAATATAAGTCATTTAAATTCATTTCAAAGTCACATCACAAAAAGTAACTCCAACAAATATACTAAGCAAAAAATAATTTACATTGTTCTTTTATTTTGTCCTCCTTCATAAATGGGGACTGTCCGAAATGATCTACAATCTACAACTTTCGAGCGGCAGTATAGATTGCACAGAGGTGACATAACTTTGGTCTATATAGATAGACACATAATTCCCAGAATAAGACGTTAAACGAAATAAATGTGCGCAAAATACACGCAACAAAAACTAACAGGTGATTATTCCCAAATGTCAGTTGTTTCGTTCCTTCGGATAAAACGCTGCAGTTGTGCGACGCGCGGTGGTTGATTCTTGGACAAAATGGGACAAAAGTAGAAAAAAATTGCTTAAAAAATGGGAAATTTTAATGTAATTTGATTTATTATAGTCTAATACATATAACTGATACATTGTTTTCATTTAATCTTATTCATAACCACAAATTATTCAAATCTTAAAAAACATTTTTCTCATTCGTCAGAATAAATATATTCCAGATTATTTAAAAAATTGAAAATATATTGGTATATATTGGAATCAATTCTTGCATAAATGCAACTACGACTATTTGCGGATTAATTAGTTATATGATTGAAGTCATAACTAAAAAAGTATTTTTATTTGGAACGACAGTTTTTAAACTTAATTTGGGAATTTTTGTTAACAATCTGAACACAATTTTTTGTTAATTTCTTACAGATATATTTACCAATATTTGAACTATATTATGAACTTTTTGTAGTCGAAATAAGTAAAACTTTAGGAGTTACACGTTCTTGAAGAGAGTCATCTTCAAACATCATGTCGCGACGGGTACATGACCCTGACCGTTATAGTGAATAGAAAAAAGACGGTGTGAAATCTCTGTTGTTAATATTTACATTTGATTTTATGATTTATCGCAAAAAGTAAGTTTTAAGTAATATTGATTTTTGTCTCACTTTTTAGATTAATCGACTGTGCGACGGTATTCTCGGTAAGCAGCTGAGTCGACGGCGAACGTGTTAAACGGAATGCTAGATTTACTGCATCCTTTACGGTCCGGTTTCGTCGGTCCCGCGGTTTTCGGCGGCAGAAGAAAACGCAAGCCTGCAGTCATCATGAGAAACGAAGTAATAGAATGTTGTAACAGCGCAGAGCTGATGTCATGCGTTAACCTTCTACTTTGCACGTACAAGCTGTTCACAGAAACGCACGCTTACTGCGCCGCTACACAAAACAGCTCGCCGGAGAGTATTTTTCAGAGCGGTGTCCACCGGTCCGGCGAAAAAAGTTGCGAAGCGGTCGTAAAATTGCCTAGGAAGTAGACGAAGGAACGTCCAATGCGATTGCTTCTTACGTAATTACGAATTCCGCGGTCGCGCTGCGGCTGTTACCGTTTCGTTAGGGCCTTATTCCGACGAGACTTTCGGTGTCTGCTGATTGATTTCCGGAAAATGCGCTGCTACTTGGAAAAATTCCGATACTGGGAAAAATCAGGTAGTCTAGTCAGTTTTTTTAGGATATATACAAATTTATTTTTTATTTTAGAAAAAGAGCGTAGGGTCTTGTCAGACTGTGATCTTAACAGTTTAACGGTTGCGCTTTTTGTTTTACATTTAACTGCGTATAACCACGTAAATATTTCCTGGAAATGCTTTCAACTTTAACTTTTATGTTAAATGTAGATACCTACATACAGTATTGGACATTGGTATTAATTTTTCATTTGAACGGTAAAATGATAATTAATAATATTAGATACGTGATAAATTTGGAATAAATGAACGAGTAAATAAAGAAAATAATATATTTACATTACTTAATTTAAAGGTCACTCTAGCGAGTAACGGTTGCACTTTGTATATTAGAAATAAAACTTTTTATTACAGCTTGTTTTTTATTCTCAGGTTATTTATAATATTAATTGCGTTTAGTATTATATTTTGTACATATTATTTGTGACGTCACTGATGGATTTTATTCGCCGAAGGCGATATGCAGGCATATTTATATAATTCTGATAATATTATTTAATAATAATTAGATCTTAAAGTTGTTACAATGTATGAAGGTATTTCTATCAGTAAATATTAATACATCAATCTTGTATAACAATTTCCTGAAACCATTAACCTTTCTAAATGTTGCTTCTGATAGTGTGAAATTTTATTTTATTTTGCGATCCATTGTGTGTTCTTTAATAATCGTTCAGTTTTCAATTGTTTTAGTACAAACATATACTTCTTTATTTCGTTCATACTAAATTTCTATAAAAACTAGGAGGATCTTAATTTTCTCGTATATTATAAGCATTCATAGATGTTCTTATTTCTAAAAATACGCTCGGTAATCGCGTTCTACCATTGAAAATTCGTGGCGCAGCTAGTTTCCATTACAGAAGCACACAATAGAAACGCGAATGAAGTGCCGTATAATCAGCTCCATAAGGTCACGCATCGCGACAAAATCGACCGAATGCCCGTGGAAAAAGTTACCGTGCGGGAATCCGTGACGAATCTTTTATTGACGAGTGAACGGTGGCCGATAAGAATTCATTTTCCGTGAACGTGACCAGATAAAGGCTGGAGGTCTCCGACTTTCCAAAGCGGAAAGCGTGCACGAGCACGCACCGAGTCTACCATTTTGCTCGAGGAGAGTCGGGGAATGAAAAAATAAGCTGCTGAATAGACCGGTAGCTTCGGAAAACAATAGTTAGCGGGTTGCAAGAGAAAATATGATGAAAACATCAACGTGGTTGATGTAATCTCTCTCGGTATCGGGCCGGTGTGTAAGTACCGCGCGGCTAGGCGCTTGAAACGAGTCTTTCGCGAAAAATGGGAAACCTGATTTAAGATAAATGTTGCCTCGCGGAATTTTCATGCCGATAGTCATCTCGGTAACGTATGATTTGTTGTGCGATTGTACGCGAATTTGAAACTGATAGAGAGCAAATTATGTGCGAATACTCTGCCGCGCATGCCGGTGAACGCGTTCGAGCGGAATTAGTAAGTGAGTCCATCGCACAATACTCGGCGCGTGATTATGTCAATTTATTAGAGAGAAAAGTACAATTTTTAAGTTCCTTAAAATATTTAATAATCTTAAAATATTTATCTGCACTTCGCTCATAAATTAATATTGGTTATGCTTTTTAGACTTAAAAATTTCGCGAACAGTATAGAGAAAAGACAATATAGAAAAACGCATGGCAATAGTTTTTAAAAATGTAGGTTTCAAAGACGAAATGTTAAATGTTGGTATATACATATTAATTTATAAACTGCTGAATTATTAACGTAATTTACATTTAATAACATTTTCCGGTTAAGAAGAAATTTACCGTAAGATGTAAATAAATATTTAAGTATGGAAAATAGTAGACGTCGGTCTTCATATTTTAGTTTTAACAGTTTTTTAATGATATTTTCATATTTTCACAGTTAATATAAAATATTATGTTTAACAGAATGAATATGGAATTTATCAATATCTTGAAATAGTTAAATACGTCAAATTAAAGTGGTTGTGTAGGAATTAGAATCAATTTTCAAATATATCATTTTTATTATTAAACGTCAATAATAATGTCTGTTTGGAATTTCGAATCGTTACTAAGTATTTCGATAGGTTTGTTAGGAAACAGTTTTTACATCCGTTGATTTTCTCATTTGCATTATGTTAGATACCGTCATTTATGAAACTTTGTTGCAAAATTTGCATCTTGCGCTCTTTAACATCTTGCAGTCAGACACGTTTCCGTTAGCGTGCTTTATTTAATTTGTGAGTTCACTGTATCTCTCCCACCGTCAACACATTCAGATTACAAGATTAAAGTCAAATCATAGCCTTCTCAGATTACTCTTGCATTTATTCCTCTTCTTTTTAATTAACGAGATGATCTGAGAGCTATGAAGGTGATTTACAAACTGCAACGCTCAGTTTACATGAAACAAATCACTTCGCCACAAAGGAAGCTTGATGTATAAGCGTAATATCTAGCCTCGTTAATTACCTACTGTGACAACCCGTGAAAATAATAATAATTACAGGTGTTAGCATACTTTTAAATATTTCAACTGTTTTCTACGTTGCATTTTCCGTGCACAAACTGCGGAAAAATATTTAAATGTAAGATGGATACGTAAAATGGCAAAACAACTGGTAAACGTAACACGTACATATCTATGAAACATAATATTCTTGAATACAATGGTTAATTTAGTTTCAACTTTGAAGATTTTTCAATTACTGAAAAGTCATTTAAAATAAAAATTAACATAGTTATTGTAATGTAAACTCTATCTTGTGTAGAGTAATTTCTAGTGATTAATGAAGTTGTCATTGATAAGAAATAATGTAATTTATATTCATGTTGTATTCAAGAACATTTACGATTTCTTTTGCTTTCTATTTCGAGCGCCATAATATTTTAAATAATTCTAAACCATTGTAATAAGTACAGAAATTTAAGGAGATTGTAGTCATAACGAAATGAATCACTTTATTATACATCATTATTGTAAAACCATAATTAATTGATAAGTCTAAGTTTAATACGCTTAAATTCTTATGAAAATATAGTCGAAATATCTCTGACTCACCCTAATCAGTATTCTGAATAAAAAGCAATCAATTCCTAATACAAAAGACATTTTAGTTAAAAAGAAAACTGCTTTTTTGTGACTCTTCCATTTTGGTCCCAACAATTATGGTCCCCGGTTAAAACGAAACATTTCTTTTCCGCGTTACCCGACACGGAGAAACATCACGGATTTTTACGCCATGTCGGGACATCGTTGATTACGTTCCAGATAAAAATATATTTACTCAGCAGTTAAGAGTGTTGTAACACCATTGACACGTGGGTGAACGCTACTGGCTGTTATGGTAGCCCGTGTAACGCCGCCTAGATTTTTCTGAAACAGCTCCGCGTTCCATTTGAATCGTTTGGCCCGGAGTATTAATTGTCGGCGCTTCGGGAATCGATAAAATGAAAAAATGCGCGATAAACGTATATATCGCTCGATCTTTCGTTACCTTGACTGACGTATCATTAAATCCCACATGTATGTACCGTTTTGCCTTTTTCTAGACGATCCTGATCTCCCATCTGGCTGCGGAGCGCGGCAGACACGACATTGCAGTGGCATTACAGATCATTATGTAATGTCATAACGTTATGTGAACGTTTTACATTCGATGCCTTGCACCATTGCGGTCTCAAGGTCTCTACATTGTTGTGTGTACAACGTGTTAACGCATCGATGCGATCCAGGGACGTATTCGCCGGAGAAAATCCCAATGGCGCCTCGTGACTCTACTCATTGTATAATAATAGTAGCTGGAAAATGTGCTGCCACTATTCAGCCGCTGCACCTTTTTCTGTTCTACAACTAATTTCATTCTAGCTCGAGTTCACAATGCTCTACGTGCGGTTTGAGTCTCACCGCGACTTCCGGTTACATTGCTTCCGTCGGAACCTGACTTTGCTATTCTAAATATTTTAATTATCGACTTGTTATATTACAATCCTTTCTATCATGTATTATACAGTTTTTTATATATAGTTGGTACTTCTAGAATTATTTAGTTCTTCAAGTGGGTACAGGATTTACAGTATTAATAAATGAGCGTTGTTTAATATTTTCTTTCCATTCTATTCGTATTCTGTATAATTTTAATAAGTTCTCATTATTATCCATATATTTTCCTATTAGATACGGATATTCTATGTAATCTACTGTTTACATTTAATAAATCATCACGCTACTTGTAATGTCGGAAGATTGTTAATAATGTCACTGTCAGTTATAAATACACATTTATTGCAGGTATGAGAATGTATTATAACTGGATTTAAAATATTCTACTGAATTAAAGTCCTCGACACGTAGTATCTGTCACGATATTACAAGATAAGAAGTTAATTTAATTGACGGATTAACCGATACCAATCAGTCATAGTATTTTAAGTTTTTCTTTCATTTATCGAGCCGAATAAACCGTACAATGAATTATTTATTTAAATATCCGTATTCTAATTACATATGACGATTATATTATTATTTATAATGATAATTATAAATTAAAATAAATCTCTAATTATAAATAAAAACTCATTCTGAAGTAAGTAAAACATCAAATCCAATAATGACAATGAATTATTATTCAATAATTAATTTTCATTCTTCTTTAAACAAGATTATTGGTACCGTAAACAGATTTGTTTGCCAACATGAAGCACTAGCAACGTCTTTACGATCAAATTATCGTCGTTGCAAGATATTGCAAAAAAGACAGGAAAAACGTGCAATTTTCACGAAGCATTGGTCCTGAGGCAAGTCCTGAGTTCGACAGGGTTCAATTTCGGAGGTAGATTCTTTGAACCGATCGCCTCCGGGCCGTTCTCTAAACTCTTTCCCTCGGTCGCGTTCGTCGCAACTGGTCCTAAACGCATCAATAAACCATGGAAAGTGAGACACAGCGTCGGGTAATAATTTCGGCGCGACTGAAACTTTCCATCTTTGCAAGCAGGAAATGTCGTAAACGTTAATTACTCGGCAGGTATAAATAAGGGTTAACGGCGGATCGGTTGTTTCCAAAACTGCCTCAGCGCCGTAAACTTACCCCGTTCACAAAGGGATTTGCTCAGCACCGTATTCCGCTTTCGAAAGCGTTCCGTATTGTCGCCTGTGTGTCTCCGTAAATTATCTCCAAACATTCCGCTAAATCTCACTGAGAGTATCTTATCCTTGAAACGCTGACAGTTGGGGATGCTTAATTATTCGATTCGCGTTGCGCATCTTCTTTGAATGGTAACGCGAGACATTTAGAGGTCCAATCTGCGTTGATTAAGAACTGCTAGGAGATTATTTGATGGCTAGGCTGAAGAATTGATCGAAATCGATCAGGTTTTATTTTTCTCATTCAATCTTCTATTGGTTTTATTTCCTAATTCCTTATACTTTGGATCACTAATTTGCTATTTGTTAATACGGTTACACTGGAAGTACTGTAGGTAGATCACTTGATGACTAGCCTGAGGAATTCGGTTGATCGATCAGATTTTATTTGTTCTCATCCAATTTTGTATTGGTTTTATTTCCTAATTGCTGATATTTTCGATCACAAATTTATTATTCGTCATACGGTTACTCGTAACTAATCGAAATTATGAAATTGTAAGCTAGATAAACTAAGAGTTGTTTTTATTAACGATCGTGATCGAGTTTAGTTGTCGTACATTTTTTGATTTATACAAATAGATATACAATATTTCCAATTGATAATAGAAATATATTAAATAAAATAAAATAAATATTAAATATAGGAATATAATTATTAAGTACATAACATTTTTTTTCTTGCTGTGCGATCACATATATTAATCATATTGTTATCAGAAGAAAACATTTTACATTATTTATATCCAAATATACCCGGTCACTACGCAGGATTAATGGAACATAAGTAATTACCTAGATACGTAAGTATAGAAGCACAAATTCATGAATTAGTTTCATTCTCCAAAAGATAGATACTGGGTACTTAGATAGGAATGAAATGTAATATTTTCTTTATTTGAAAATAAAACATAATATACTGAATAAACATACTAAACAAAATAAGTATAAGCGAATATAAGAAGTTAATGATTACATTGTTTAAAAATAGTATGTACAATATATATAATATAGTATATAAAATAGTATCATTGCACACATACAGAACAAAATAAATGGATCCTACCATAAGCCAATGTTGGTTATTGTTTATTACAACCCTTATTAACAAGTTAATCTTTCAAAAAGTTCCAATTTTTCAAAATTTTGATTTTGAAAATTTTATTTAAAAATGTTGTAAACGTTAAAGAAAAATTTGTATTTTTCAAGGGGTGATTTCACTTCTTCAAAGTGAAATTTGATATATACAAAGTTTCATAATTTTTTGAATTTCCGGATTCGACATCTCTCCTTGTAGAACAGAAAAGGGATACATAGGCAATAAAGGATCAAGCAACCGCATATCGATCGAAGCACGTGCGCTTAGTACATAAATTTGTATTCACCTCAACAAAATGTTTATTTATTTCAAACAAAAATGAATAATAATACGATATAATATAAATATAACATTCTAGGTCGTAATGTATCGAGCATCCGTCGGGTTAAGATTAAGCACGGCTACCATATTAAAACGTTATTTTTCTTTCTTCTTAATGATACATGCAGACTATCTCTGTTGAACTTAATCATTACCGAGAAGCGAGGTATCATAATGCGAAAACGATTGCTCCAGCTTAAATCAGATCGCGGGGACACCCCGTCCGTGGTTGAGGAGTAATTGCGCAAGAAACCGTGCGCAGAAACGATGTCAAAAGCAATAATTTCATGAAATCCACTAAATATCTTGTTAGCTCGATTATTACGGTATTACGTAAGTACCATCACGTCCGGCTTTTTCCTTCTCAGACCGCCTTGGCAACGTCGTATTCCGTAAACACCATTCTCACTCGACAGTAGCAGAAGAATTATATCCTCCTTCCTGTATATACGATAATTACGAAGGACTAATTGCACGGCAACACTACACTGGCGCCGTTCTATCAGTATTTTAATAAACTCCATTCTGCTGAACATATTGCAGAAGGAAAAACTGAAAGCGTCGAACGGTTTTAATTCTTTGCCACTTGGAGCATTCCTCTTAAGGACAAATACGATGTTCGGTTCTCTGCTCGAGCTGTATTTTATACACCGTGTTCGAGTAATTTTCTGTAACTTGATTTTTTTCCTGTATAAAGAAGTTGTATAATATGAAGCTAAATCATTAGTTTCTGAATATGAATTAATCATGCATTTATCATTTTTAAACGTTTTATCTTTACAAAACAGCCAGTAAATTTACAATTTTAATAAAAATACGAATATTTTTGGATAGAGTTGTAACATTTAAAGAATTATTCGACTTCATTGGATGTAATATTCGTGGATTCTTTATAGATCTTTTTCATATAAAAAAAGAATTTTCTGTTTTACTTGTAACCACTTTTACTTGTAACCTTCACTTGTAACGACGTTTGCAAAAGTTACTGTCTCGTTAATAGCTGCTCCTGAGGAAAAGAAAGGGTATGTTTGTCATAAGTATATATTTATAAAAATAAATATTGTTATATGACTAAAATAACCCGTTTTATGAGCAAGTTTTAGCAGAAATTGCCTGAGGCGAATGTGTTAACATGAACTTATGAGTAATCATATTTACAAAATTGAATTCAATGTCATTGTTGTGTATTTGACTCGTTATTGTAAGGCCTGTTTATTCGAAGTAAAATAAAAATTTAAGAATTTAAAGTTGCTTTAACCTTCTGACTAGCACTCTATATCATCATGTTGAATGCCATGGGGGTCACCGGTGACCCCGTCAAAATTCAATTACTATAATTTCTTCAATTAAACGATGATTACTTGAAAACATTCCTATATTGTAAATGACGCTACCTAATGCGATGACATTCAGCAATATAAACCTGCGATAATAACAACGCAATTCACTGAAACAATTTAATATTGTATTCTTTTCATTTCGCATATTTTGCATCTTAAAACCGTGCAGCATTCACCGTGTTATTTAAGTCTTCAATTTTCGCTTCTCTAGACGAATACTATAAGCTCGCAAGAAATATAAGTTACTGGAGGATTTGGCAGGGGAAAAGTCCAAGTGCAAAGGGTTAATCCTCTCCAAGACACTTTTGTTCATGAAGGACCACGACTCGCAGAAGTGGAGCAACCAAGGGAACGAGGACCTCGCTTCGAAAGGCTTTCATTCATACGATGGCGGCAGTCTTTACAATCCTTCGGTTGTCGTGCGTGGGAAGGGTTTCATTGCGTGCGCAGCTGGGTGAGGGTAAAAAGTAAGGAAGAAGATAGGTTGCCCAAGTGTACAAGTGAGTTAAGGGACAATGAACACGATGGTGGAACGAAACGAATTGATTTAACACTAGAACTACCATGCAGTCAGACTGACATTTTCAAAGTTTTCTATAGAAACTCTAAAAATACAGTTATTGGGATTTCATTTGACTTATGACTCAATTTGAATATTACTAAATCAATTTTTTTTATTAATTTCGTAGAAAAGCATCTGTTATCTTTTTAATAATTGGGAAAGAAAAATTTAAGAATGTACTAATTTGACCTATTTGGTGTACTAGTGTTAAATACATCTCATTGTTCAAAAGAAAGTGAAAAATAGTAGGTATATAATGGTAGGAAAACTTTAAAGCAAATAGGCACAGTAAACACTTATCATTTCCGTTTTTGATGTAATGGGTGTATATAGAAAACCGATTTTTAAAAGTTTATAGTACTGATTTATGATATTATAGTACTTTTACTTTAATTCAATATTTACTTTCTATCTTATAATGTTACTAAAATTGTATTTTTTTATGATTTTTGTTAAAGAACCATATTACCTTCACTTTTATGGGAAGTCTAAAAATGACTTG